CCGTGAGAAGGGCGATTAAGCGAGACGTGCAGATAAACAAGAGAAACCGAGTCCCGGCAATGAATTGAACGGATATCATATCAGAAGAAAACAACATCCTCCCAGATCACCAAATCAATCAACCATAGACAGAGCTATCTACAGCAAGTAGGCGACCAGTCCGAAGACGGTGGCCAGACCAGCACCGGCACCGGCGGCAGCGCGCGAGGCACCACCGGTGAAGATGGGAGCGGCGGGGGTGGTGCCCGAGCCGGAGGGGGCAACGCCCGAAGGCACGCCCGAGGGAGACACGCCCGAGGGGGCGGGGCCGCTGGGGATCACGGGGGCGGAGGGAGTGGCGCTGCTGGAGGGGATAACGACGGAGCCGCCGCTGGGGCCGTTGGAGGGGACACCGGGGACGGGGTTGACGGAGCTGGGGATGGATAGGACGGGGGTCTTGGTGGCGCTGTTTTGGACGGTTAGAATAAGATACATCATTATCGACGGGGAATCCATGAAGATATAGCATACCACTTGCTGCAGCGGGTGACGGTCGAGGTGATCAGAGGGCGAGTGGTGCTGTAGCGAACGTTGGTGGCGGACACCGGGGCGGGCTGGATTGCGTATGGTTAGTTACCGGGACCCAAAAGACATCAGTGACGCATTTATAGATCGAACATACCTGAGTGACGGTAGTCTGCTCAGAGACCGGCAGAGTCGAGACCTTGGGGCAGAAGGTCGCGGTCTCGGTGACAACGACGGTCTGGACGGGCTCTTCGGCGGCGACGACACCGACGGCCATGGTGGCCAGGGCAGCAGTAGCGAGAGAGAAACGCATTGTGGCTGAGGTTATAGATAGATTGGGTGAAAATGGATTTTCTGTGGTTTTCTGTGGTTTTCTGGCGGGATAGAAGAACTATCGAGGAGTCGATCGCAACAGTGAAAAGAGTGACTGATGGATATAAACGAAAGAATGTACTCGGACGAGGCCGGGGATGATGATCAAGATGAAACTGATTGGAGAGAAGAAGAGGAGAGAGAAGAGAGAGGAAAAGGAGGCAGATATTTATTCTCCATAGCCACTAATCCTTAGCATCCACTATTAATCAAATCTGGGACCTGAACTATCGCCCTTAGGGTTAGTGCCGTGTCTTGACGGTGCGTGGTGGTATCGCCCGCACTTCGCTCCCATAGCGATGCAGTGTGGTAAGCCATCCCGTACCGCCACGCAGGATTCCTTTCACCACATCCAGGCACCCCTTTTCCCTCTCCACCTTTATCTTCCAGTAGCTCCGTGGCTTTGGGCAATGATCGTCCACGTTCCGTCGGGTCTGGAGCCTTAGCGGTGTCCTCTTGGGCGGCACTCCCTGAATCACGATCTGGATCAGGATCATGGCCATGTTCGCCCGCAGAATAAGTTATGTGCCATGCACATGCTTCCTCGCAGATTGGTCCGTTTCACTGATCTCATTCATGGGTGCTGTTTAGGGCGGAGTCAGAATTGGGCTCGGGTCTGAAAATCAGATCGTGTTTCACCTGGCTGTATTTTTCCTTTCGCTCGGTCTTCTTTTGCTTTTCGCCCTGATAATCCTTTCCCGGTTGAGGTGCCTCTCGTCCTGGGGCCAACTTCTTATTCAGGCCTGCCAATTTTGGGGCAAATAATTGACGGAATTATTAGCTTAACGGAGGTGATTCGCGCAGAAACGGTCGACGTGTGATTTGTCCAATTAGTCTGCCTCGTCTGGTGCCTGATTGATCTGTTCCTGCAGTGTTTACAGTTCTACACGCTACCTACTATTTACACGTAGAATCACGGTCAACACACCACACCCTCGGTACCGTCCGCATCCTCCGTCGACGCTGTCCACGGATCCCGAGTGCTCGAGTCGATCCTCATTCCCTTCTGCAAGGCACGTACCGGAGCGGTGTGACTGGACGTAAGGAACTCGATTCTTGACCGTCGATTGTGCATAGGCTGCCCTATAGGTTACTGTCTGACCGAAGTTGGGGTCTGAAACCACGCCATACGGAATATACCGTGGGACAAAACGAACAGTATGAGGGAATGTTGAAACAACTCTGGAGTACTCCGTAATGAAATCAAATTTTCTATCAACACGCTAAAGACCTAAGCGAAGCCAGAACTTGGCGAGTAACGATAAACAGACTCCCTCAAGAGCACAAATTTCATCACGCCATGCAAATACCAAAACACAACACATCCAATCCGATTCGTTCTTTGTCCCAAATATGGATGGTGAAAGGCGGGGACATATCAGCAGCGCCCGAGAGAAGCCAGCCGAGGCCGTCCTCTCCACGAGAGCTGACCAGCTAGTCGCCGTTTCTTCATCTTGGATTTAGTTGTGTGAAGAAAGAAAGGAAACGAGCGAAGGCCCGCGGAATTTGACGCTCCGCCAGAAATAAGCGAGCCGGAGAGGAACATCCTTCACCCGCCCGTCGGAGATGCTAGTCCCAAAGCAACCTAGCGTGTTCTGCTTCCCGCGGGCAACGGCGGCGGCCGTATCAGCGGCTGCTTGTCCGAAGATAGGACGTCCTTCTTTACTCGGGTCCCATGCGGAGCTGGTAACTGGCCTTCTTTTCCCACATTTATTTCTTGCTTTCCCCCGCCGTGTCCATTGATTCGTACTTCGTCTACTTTGTACCTCATCCTCATCCCCGACAAGAAACGAAAGCGACCGACGACATCATGCTCAGCCGTTGCGGCCGTCTAGCCTCGCGCTTGCTCCCGCTCGCCGGAAGCTCCAGAGCTATCACCTCGCAGCTCCGACCTGCTGCCTCGCACCTTTCCAGATCGATTCCGCAGTCACGCGAAGTTTCGTCCTCCAGTCGTGATGGACAGCAGCATGTATGTGCCAATTGATTGACTCCCCCGCCGTTCTTGGACTGTATCGATCGATACTAACGTCATCTGCTGTCTTCTAGTTGCTCTCCGCATCTCTGAAGGAGGAGGACCCCACCATCCACAATATCCTACAAAAAGTTGACTTGTTTTCTTCCAAACACCATGAACACCTATGCTCATTATTCCGTAGGAGAAAAAACGCCAGAAACACTTCATCAACTTGATCCCTTCAGAGAACTTCACCTCGCAAGCCGTCCTCGATGCGCTCGGCAGTGTGATGCAGAGTGAGCACCCACTGCCACACGTGCGATTGACGTTATCTCGTGGCTGACCGGACATAGACAAATATTCCGAGGGATATCCCGGAGCGAGATACTACGGAGGAAATGAATTCATTGACGAGTCGGAGCGACTATGCCAGCTGCGTGCCCTGGAGACTTTCCGGTTGAACCCCGAGGAGTGGGGTGTTAACGTGCAGCGTAAGTTATATGCTGATTCTTTTTCTTACAAATTGACTGACTCCTGCTAGCTCTCTCTGGCTCCCCTGCCAACTTGTACGCCATCTCTGCTCTTCTGAACACCCACGAACGTCTCATGGGCCTGGACTTGCCCCATGGTGGCCATCTGTCGCACGGTTACCAGACCCCTACCAAGAAGATCTCGTTCATCTCGAAATACTTTGAGACGTTCCCCTACCGTCTAGACGAGTCCACCGGTCTGATAGACTACGACGCCCTTGCCAAGAATGCTCTTCTGTACCGCCCGAAACTCATCATCGCCGGCACGTCGGCCTACAGCCGGCTGATCGACTACCCTCGCATGCGGGAGATCGCGGATGCGGCCGGTGCTTACCTCCTGAGTGACATGGCTCATATCTCTGGTCTGGTCGCTGCCGACGTTTTGCCTTCGCCCTTCCAGCACTCGGATGTTGTCACGACCACCACTCACAAGTCCCTGAGAGGTCCCCGCGGTGCGATGATCTTCTACCGCAAGGGTGTCCGCCGAACGGACAAGAAGGGCAACCCCGAGATGTACGACCTTGAGGGTCCTATTAACGCATCCGTCTTCCCCGGTCACCAAGGTGGCCCTCACAACCACACCATCACCGCTCTGGCCGTCGCTTTGAAGCAAGCGCAGTCGAGCGAGTTCAAGACCTACCAGGAAACGGTGTTGGTCAACGCACAGGCGCTGTCGGATCGGTTGGGTAACTCGCAGAACAACGGTGGCCTGGGATACAACATCGTGTCCGGCGGAACCGACAACCACTTGGTTCTGGTGGACCTGAAGAACCGCGGCGTGGATGGTGCCCGCGTTGAGCGTGTGCTGGAGCTGTGCGGCGTTGCCAGCAACAAGAACACCGTGCCCGGGGACAAGTCCGCCCTCAAGCCCGGAGGTCTGCGTCTCGGTACTCCGGCCATGACTACGCGGGGCTTCCAGCCGGAGGACTTCCGCCGCGTGGCCGACATCGTGGATCGTGCCGTGATCATCACCCAGAAGCTGGACAAGGCCGCCAAGGAAAGCGCCTCGTCCAAGGGCGTCAAGAACCCGAACACCGTCAAGGCATTCCTGGAATATGTCAAGGAAGGCGAAGAGATCCCGGAAATTGTGCTTCTCAGGCAGGAGGTCGAGGACTGGGTCGGAACCTTTAGTCTTCCGTGGGCCCAGGAGGAGTAAGAATGACTTGATATTTTGTAATTGTTTCATTTACGACCCGGCTTCAGGTGTTTTCTGCTTTTGATGGTTTTTGCTTTTGCAAGCATTTTTTGCGTTGAATGAATTGTTTCCACTTATTGATCTGATATACACATGGATGTACAAATGTTCAACACATCTACTAGACTCAATGATCGACTTTACTGATAGTATTCAAATTATTTTCTAGTCACAGTAGATAACGCATAAAACAGAACAACCTGAGAAAGCACATCACCAAGTCTCCGCATGCGGCCTCATATCTAGTTCTTGCGTAAATGCCGACCTAGGCTGCGTATGCAAGAACCAGTATGCCTCCGCAATCTATATGACTGTCAGCGATCTCTTCTCTCTACCTTGTCATGCAACAACAGCTCGACACCACTCATCCAGTTGGGGTCAGTCTTCGCATCGGGCCGGTCATCCATGAAGCCCTTGGTTTTCTCGGTGTCGATGATGCCGTCGATCACGGCGTGGGCGCGCCCTTTGGCCCGAACTCGCGCGCCAGGGACTGCGCCATGGCTCGCACGGCAAACTTGCTCATGGCGAAGGAGCCGAGTCCGGATCCGCCTTTCAAGGCCGCCGTTGCTCCTGTGGTCGATTGTTAGCATCTTGATGCAGCCCCGACACGCCAGTGCCATATAAATCGGAAACAAGACACAAGCACCAAATCAGCCACGCAGAGGAGAAAAAGCTTACCGGTAAAGATCAATGTCGACGGATACCTCTGACCCTGACCCCGAGCCTGACCGTCCTCACTCTCACGTATAAGCGGCAACACGGCTCTCGCAAACTGAAACGCCCCGCGCGCCGTGCCCTCCAAACTACCCAGGAACTCATCCTTCGAGGACTCGAGGAACGGTTTCCGGACGAACTTGCTCGCGACGTTGAACACGGCCGCGGCGACGTTCAGATCCGCACCGTAGTGCGCCTTGATGGCGGCCATGGTGGACTCCACGCTCTGCTGGTCCGTGATGTCGGTCGGGATGCCCAGCGCGGAGTCCTTGCTCTGGTCGATCTCGCGGACCAACTGATCCAACGAGGTCTGGGACCGGGCGAGGAGCACGACGGGGTAGGTTTGTGCGAAGCGTCGCGCGATGGCGGCTCCTGTGCCTGGCCCGGCGCCGGCGAGCAATTGTTTTGGGGGTGGTGGATGTCATCTTTTCTCTCTTGTGATTCTTGAGATGGATTTGGATTAGATTGGGGTTTTAGCGGAGGGGATTCTGGCATGGTTATATAACGGAGGTTACATAGATATGTAGTTGGCTTGTTGTTCGTGTAATGACGTAACCACATACAGTCAGCTCGGCCTCAGGATGAGCGCCGAACGCCCGATTCTCAGTCATCCACGGAATAACACGGTGAAGCAGAGTGGATTGGTGGGTCTGCGGACCAGATCTGAGATTTATAGTCTCTCTTGCCCTGTTGTCTTTTCTCCTTTATATGGGAACGGGGGCAGGGGTACTTGGTGGGTGCACTTTTGCTAAAAACTTTCCATATCTCAATGAACAAGCACACAATTCTGGAGAATTCGAATGAAATACAAAATTTGATGTCAAATGGGTATATACACGGTTTTCGATTGAAGAACAGCCTCTCTCACCAACAGCATTCACAGCAGAACAGACCAGTAGGGAACCTAAATCCACACATTAGCGACGTTATAGACCTGTCCGAATACAAACAACATATACATACCAGGAAGACCCCTTTTTCCTCTCGTCTGATATCCCCTCGCGCTTGAGAGCATTCCCAATGGCCTGGATGTAGATATCATAGTCACCGCCGCCCTCGTCCTCTAGGATCTTCTTCGCCTGCCGGAGTTCCGAGACCGACAACCAGGTCAATTGGAACTCGCCGAATCTGGGCCTTTCCAGATTGACGGCGCCTTCCATGGGTCCTGAATCACGCGCGTTAGATCAGATGAGTCGGACCAGGACGGATTGCCAGGTGGACAGGTGGTGGCTTACGTTCAACTCTCGCCAGATCGCGAAACGACTTCCACACCTTCACCTTCTGCTCCTCCGTGGTGTGGGAGTACGCAGGGAACTTGAAGGTCTTGTTACCGACCCTCAGTTTCTGCCACCACCAGTACTCGTCGCAGGCGAGGTATTGCTCGAGCACTTGGCCCTCGCGGTAGATCGCCAGGCCGTCATCGGGTAGGTCGAAGCGGTACGGACCCATGCCTTGTTGGTTCATTTTGAAATTTGATTGTGGCCTGGTAATGCTGTTTGACCCCGTTACGTTCTCTTTTTCCAAATTTCTAACCAGCCGGCTCTTGTTGACCGTTTAGACGCCAGGGGGTTTGTTTAATCCAATAGTTCTTCTAGTCTGCAACGCGGGGAGATTTGTGACAGTATCGACAGGTGAGTTCCCAGCGCAGTTAGTTAGAGAATTGACAATCGCATAGACAACGACAGGCACGTTGCTAAAGGGGTGAACTGCCGGGATGAGGTGACGATCCTCAGCACAGCCCCGAAACTAAAGAAACTGACACGCGGTGGGGCAGAGAGAGATTGGATTTGTATTGTCCCGGCCAGTCAGATTCTTGGACGATAAAACGATGGATTTGCTGGACCGTGCTTGATGGTGGTTTTCTCAGTTATACGAAGCACTGGAGGATGCTGTTCTCGATCCTCGATGATTTTCTTGTGATTAAGTTCGAATTTACCATGAAGAGGAGTCTAAATAACCAGAAAGAGGCAAAGAGGGCCTTGGCCGATTCCGATAAGCGGACGGGCTTATCGTCTCCGCTTTCCCCGGACTTGCATGGATCAAGGGGCCAATTGATCATTCCTCCCTCCTGCTTTTCTCAATTCCCATTGCTTAGCTGTTTAGCTGTTAGCATCTCCCAGCTTGGATGGATCATCCTTCGTCGGAAAAACATTTAAAGCGAAGGATTTGTCGAAGGAGTCTCGTTCGTTAGACTGACTTAGGTCCTTCTGTCAGCAATCAACACGAGCTACCAACGCGGCGGTCAATCCAACAGCTCATCATGAAGGTCACACAGGTACATACTAAACTAAGCATTATCCGCTACCATTCGGTCTCGGTCATCCCCTTGTTGACTGCTTACAGCTCTACACCTACCCCATCAAATCGTTACGGGGCGTCGCCCTCCCCGAGGCGGCGGTCACCAGAACCGGATTCCAGTATGACCGCCGATTCATGCTACTCAAAGTGAAAACCAGCGACGACGGCACCGAGACCCTCCAGAACATGCACGTACCTCACTTCCCCGAGATGTCCCTCTTCCTGACCGATATCGTCTTCCCCACGGAAGGAAGCAACGATGGCAAGATCCTGGTGACGTACCGGCCTCCAGGCGTCGACGACATCGCCGACCCGCGCGTCAAAACTCTCGAGATTCCCCTGCAACCTGACGTGCGAGGACGGCAGGAGCTGGGCGTCATCATGCATCAGAGCCCGACGAAGGGGTACAACATGGGCAGCGAGTATAATGACTGGTTCGGCGAGTGCTTCGGATACCGCGTCGTCCTGGCGTATCTGGGACCCCACTGGCGGCCGGTGCTGGGTAGCTTCGCGCCGGCGAAGAGCCCAATTCACCGCCAGCACCGTCGGTCTACGACGTCGCTGGTTTCCACACGGTCGCTGGTGATCCTGGCCGTGTTGACGCTGCTTCTCAACGCCGTCGGGGTGCCCATGGCGCGCGAGAAAACGGGGACCTACCTGCTTCCCAGCGTTGTCGCTACGACGGTCGCCGTGATCCTCTCGCTTGCCCTCGGCTGTGGCTGGTCTTTATGGGACAAGGAGGAGAAGATCACGTTTGCCGACTCAGCGCCATACCTGGTAGTGTCGGAGACGTCGGTGGACAACGTATCAACACGCCTGGCCGGTGACGAAGAGATGGATGTGACCAAGTTCCGACCGAATATTGTCGTGGCGGGCGCCGCGACAGCTTTCGAGGAGGACTTCTGGGCCGAGCTGACGGTGGGTGAGGGCGCCCGGCTGCTCCTCACTGCGAACTGCGTGCGCTGCCAGAGTCTGAATGTGGACTATACCACGGGGAAAATGGGTACCGGGGACTCGGGCAGCGTGCTGAAGAAGCTGATGAAGGATCGACGGGTCGACAAGGGGGCCAAGTATAGCCCCGTATTTGGTCGATACTCGTTCTTGGATCCGGCATCGGAGAACGTCTTGATTCGTGTGGGAGACGAGGTGGGTGTGTCGAAGACCGCCGATGAACGAACGGTATACGGTGAGTTACACCAGAGTACCTATTTTTAAGTAGTTGCTCACTGTCGTTATTAGATTGGCCCGGTCTTGGTTAAGGTGAGAAGGCTAAGTAGACATTTTAAAAGTACTTATTTTTTGGATTTCAACGTGGTGATACTATCCCCTCGTCCGTCCGGGAAGCACAATTAGCGTATTTTACTAGCGTATACATGGCAACGCGTCCTAATTGGCTAATCATGGTAATGCTTCAGTAATCAGAAGCAGTGTAATTAATTA